AACTTAATAAAATAATTAGAAATAATTAAATGTTTTTAGCAAAAATTTGGTATAAGTGATCTGCAGAAAGAGTTACTATTTTACTATTGGTGACTCGACTAATTGTCTAATATTGTTTATATTATTTGCTATTGTTTGTGTCGAATGTTCAGTCATTATATGAATGGGTGTTGCTGGCACTTTGATAAGCCATAAATAGTATATTTTAAATACTTCATTGACAGGAATCTTGTGGTTTTCAATGAATGAGAATGTGAGTACAGATTGTGATATTCTATAATCGTGTCACGTACAATTCTATTTCTTATCTTTTTGTTTCATCTCATTTCCACATTGCCAACATTTTTGACTTTTATAGAGAATTCCTTCTTGTTGCAGGAATTTGATACATTCCATTTCATCTTCTAAGATGTTCTTTATTTGTTTTTCTGATGGAATTTTTGCTTTGATAGGAAGTTCATTAATAATTTTTTCAACATCATCTTTCATTTGTTTAGATGATTTCAAATTCTACAAATAAATTTGTATTCCAAATATCATCGTATATGAAATATCTATCTTGAGGTGGTTTACAACTTTCTTCTTGTATCATCCAATATTTTCTAACTAGTATTACAAGTGTTGTATATGCTGTTATCAAGTTTCACATTATTTTTCTACTTAAGGGGTAACTTTTCCACCTTGTTTTTCCTCAAATTCTTCATGAGTTTTATCTATACAATTGGTTTCCTTATAACCCTTTTTATACTTTTTCCATCAATTATCCTATTGTTTCAGTTTATTAATTTTTGTATTATCCTTATCTCATTGTATTTTCTAATTTGCCTACTTTTGGAAGTTTTCTATTATGGATTTCATTGCTTACTCATCATGCATTCTTCTTGAACTTAGAGTTGTTTTCTTGATAGTTTTATCCGTCTTCTTTGGAAAAGTTCTATATTTCCTGACTTTAATTCTCTTTACAATTGTTTTTGTAAGCAATCTACTTTTTCAGCTAATTATGTTAAGCCCTATCCATCAAAGCTTTTTTCTGAAGGTTATGACGGAGTGTTCAATATTTTAGATAATTCCATTATTGGTTATTCCAAGGATTATTTTCTTTTTCTTGAAAAGAATATAACTTCTCTTGAAGATTTTATCTTCTTTCTTTTTGAGAATTGTCCTAATTTTGATAAGTTTATTTCAATTTATCATTATTACTTTGTGACCTCTAATCAACACTTTTGGCATTATGATTTCTTTGGTCCTAATTTCCATAATAATAAGTATACTCATTGTTATACTTCTCTTCAACTTCCATGTGAGGATCTTTCATCAATTTTTGTTGATTTGTCTCTTAAGGATGGTAAGATATTTTCTTGTTATTGGGTTTTCATGCACTGCCGGACCAGAGTAGTTAGGTTTAACTACCTCTGGCCTGCAGTGCATGATGATCGAATATTTTATTCTAACCCTTACTTTTTCATTACAGATCCTTCTACTGTTAAGGTTCATTCTTCTAGAATTTCTCAACCCACTTTATCTGGGATTGATTGTTTTGATGCTCTTGACCTTTTCCAGGAATCTTCTGAAAATTCTGATCAAGGAAATAATTCTGGTCCAGAAATCTATTCTGACCAAGGATGTATTTATATCGATTATTATTCTCGCAATCCTGACGAGAGTATTGATAATGATGATTATAATATCTATTCTGATTAAATATATTTTAATAAAGGATTATTTCTTCTTTTTGAGTTGTTTCAAATCTTCCAGTTGTTGTAACTCATCTGTTGTTCTTCTAGTTAGGAAATCTGCTGCAAAATTTTGCGCTCCTTCTATTCTATGTATATGAAGGTTGACTGTTTGTCTGAGTTCTGCATCATAGTTGTTTAATGTTTTATTAACATATCGTCCAGTTTTATTTGCTGTAACTCCTGTTGCATCTGAGTACACATGTAACTCTTGTGTTCCTATGTAATGTTCCCATTGTTTTACAAAGTAATATATTGCATATATTTCTTTTAATGTTGTTGGCCAATTTTTCTGTGTTGCAGATAGGCCATATGACCCAATTTCTATAATGGTCTTGTTATACCTTGGTGGTTTGGAGAAATCATTAAGTTTACTTCGCAATAAATCTTTCTTTTTTAGAGATTCTTTAACTTTCCAATGATCTTGTGATTCATCTCCTTGTTGATATAGTATTGCACCTATTGCATGATCTGAAGCATCTGTTTCCATGAAAAATGGTTTGTTTGGATTTGGGAATGATAGTAGTAATTCATTTTTAACTCGTTGTTTGAGTTCTTCCATTGCCTTTTGACAATCTTCAGTCTATTTAAATTCAGCTGTTCCTACTAATCCGTATAGTGGTGTTGCCACTCTTGCAAAGTCTAAAATAAAGGATCTAAAATAATTCATAAATCCCAAGAATCTTTGCAATTCTGTTTTGTTTTTTGGAGTAGTAAATTTGTCTACTTCTTTAATTTTCAAAACATTTTTTCCAATTTTTCTATATGATACTTTACAATTTAATATAATTGTTTCTTGAATGAGAAATTCGCATTTTGATTTTTAATTTTCAGGCCCGCTTTTTTTAAGCATCTTAACATCTCTGTTAATTTTACTTGAGCCTCAGATTTATCATTCAATAAAATTACAAAGTCATCCATGTAGATTACTACATAGTCTAAGTGTCCTAATATTTTGTTCATTGCTCGTATCAAGTATGCTGGTGCTGTGCTAATTCCAAATGGTAATGTATGCCAACAGTATGTTCCATATTCTGCGAAGGTTGTCGCTGTATATTTCTTTGAGTTTTTATGCATCACTAATTGCCAATATGCTGATTTTATATCCATTGTTATATAGTATTTATATCTACTAACAGTTTGCAACATTTGCTTTGAATCGGGTAATGGTTCTCTATATTGTTCTAAGTACTTATTCAGATTTCTATAATCTATTGCAATTTTTTTTGTTCCATCTTTTTTGGTTATTACCAGTGCAGAGCTTCCCCATTCAATATTTCCACTGAATATAATATTGTTTTTCATTAGGTCATCTCGCATTTCTTTGATAACTTTTTTATCTTCTTCACTATATTTTCTCAATGCTTGTCTTTTTTCTCGCATTGGTATTTCATTTTCTTTCATTCCATTTTTCAGGTTTAATTTTATTGGAGGTATTTCATCAGTATTAACTCTAGTTGCATATTCTTGTTTTTCTCTGAAAACATCAACATATTCTGTAAGAATATGGCCAATTTGTTCCCATGTTCCTGG